ATAACCAAGGAGTGGCTCCGTAAGAAGCATATCAAGGTTCTGAAGTGGACTAGCCAGTCTCCAGACCTAAACCCTATAGAAAATCTTTGGAGGGAGCTCAAACTCCATGTTTCTCAGCGACAGTCCAGAAACCTGGCTGATCTAGAGAAGATCTGTGTGGAGGAATGGGCCAAAATCTCTGCTGCAGTGTGTGCAAACCTGGTGAAAAACTACAGGAAACCTTTGACCTCTGTAACTACAAACAAAGGCTACTGTACCAAATATTAACATTGATTTTCACAGGTGTTCAAATACTTATGTGCAGCAGTAACACACAAATAAATTATTACAAAATCATACATTGGGATTTCCTTTTATTTTTTTTAGATTATGTCTCTCACAGTGGACATGCACCTAAGATTTAAATTTCAGACCCCTCCATAATTTCAAAGTGGGAGAACTTGCAATGTCGCAGGGTGTTCAAATACTTATTTTACTGTAGATGTTTGTCACTAACTAATGTTAAATGAATGTGTGTGAGTTACAGAGTTGTTTTTCCTCTCAGAGAGGAGCCTGTAGGAGTACCTGATAACTCCAAGGACACCTCCGTGTCAAAGCTGGAAAGCTGAGGTCATCTTGACTTCACCTCTGTCTGATAAGCATGTATTATAAAACACTTCCTGCCTCACTGTCCGGTGCAGGTATTCATAGCCGAGAACCAAGCACGTAACTTTGCCTGTTGTGAACTCTGCCCTTGCAAGTACAGACTGGTTAAAAATCTTCTCGTGTCCTCAGAGTGGCTTATTTGAGTAAATAGATAATAATAGGACATTTATTTATCCAACAACTGCTATACTAACGCTATACTAGTTTTAGCACGATTGACTGGAACCACAAAAAACGTGACCATCAGCTTTTCACTTCAGCAAACTTGCCACACAAGAAATACATCAGCAGAAGCAAGATGTGGGTTTACTGCAGGGTTTGTAGCTGCATGTGCAAAACAAAAAGTTTCTCATAATAAAAAGATGTGTATTTATGTGAAGAATTGACAGAAAGCAATACTAACTCATGTAGAAGCAGCTGAAAGCTGCAAACCTTCAAAAAAAAAAAAAAAAAACAATCTAACAAAACGATAGTAAAACTGCAGCATCAAAACGGTTATCAGTGAGTCAAAACATTTACTATAAAATAGTTTTACACTATGTTTAATGTAACGGTTATGAAATAATAGTGGCATTTTAACTTTATATGTAAAGAACTTTAATTTGGGAGAGCAATGACTGCATCTTTACTCTCACATGAAACACACCTAACTTTATTTTACAGAGAAACTGGAATATACACATTTATACATACATACAGGAAGATATTAAACATCTGAACAAAGCGTTAAATGTTCTGTTGACATGGTTCATACACATTTCCTATTATATAATTTCTTCTTTTTTCCTCACTAGCTCTCTAACAAGGCACACGCATTCCTCCCCGCTCCCTGTTCTCTTCCTGCTTTTTTGCTCTCGGTCTGTGTATCGGAGCAGCTCCTATTTTTACACATCTTTCCAAAATGAAAACTACTGTTTTGGATCTGAACAACTGGACGTTCAATGTAAATTACAAAATGTCTTCAATAAAGCGACAGGGTCCTGGAGAACCCTCGTCTGCTCGGACGACACGCATACAAGCTGGACATATCTCTGGGGGTGATGTGTCTATCTCTGTTGTTGATCGAGGACGCCAAAATTTCATATAATTGGATTTATGATAACAGGTTTCTTGGTTTTGGAATAGTCTGGATCCTGGTTTATCAACATACAAAGAAGACGGCTGCAGCTAATTTGGCCCACGTCAAGCTGCTGTCTATGTGATGGTTGGTTCATGCTTTGAGGACTCAAAATCAGCTGATTTACCAGCTAAACCGTAAGATGGAAGTGATTTGAATCGCAGGCCACCTGCAGCTTTGGGACTCGGCAGCATGAAAACGACCTTGAAGAGGCTCATAAGCACGGACCAGTGGAATGCACCCTGATCTGGCCATTTTGGACCTTGGAAGTATCAGTTCAGACTCTAGGCTGACGGAAAAATAGCCTGCCTGAATAAATCAACAATTGTGATTATCTGAATTGGACCCCCGGTTGGCCTCGAAACAGGCCAACTTATCAATTTCTCCTGGGAAGTGTGTAAACTAAGGAAAGGCTTTGTCTATCGCAACCCCCCTCCCCTTCTGTGAAGACTTGTCAGAACTGTGCCAGCTGACCATCATCTTATCGGGACAATGGACTATGTGTTAGTTCTTCATGGACCGCCTCGTCGTAAATGCATATGTAACGTGTTCATAAATGTGCTTTAGCTGGCAGAGTTTTTTGATGTCTTAAATTGTGTCCTGTTAGGACCAGGTGTGAAGAGATCTTTTTTGTAATGCCACTATCCTCTCCTAATGGCTTTGTCCCTTTTTCGATCTAAAAAAATGTATTCAGAAAAGAATAAGAAGGCCGCACTTGTAGCAGCAGCTTCGTGCACTCTGTCCATCTTTCGGACAGCTGTACATACAGACATATTCTCGTATCTTGGTGCAATGATAAAGCTTGATCTGATTCTGATCAATTTATTGATTTCTGTGGACTTTTAGCTGATGTTCTTCATACAGAGGGTCTGGACATGAATGAGGGACACTTTTATTCAAACATCTGTACATTTCCTGGGAATGTTTGCACTGTGATGTCTTTACTGTCAGTGATGCAAAGTAAAAATATATAGTAAAAGGAAGTGTTGCTAAATGTTTTCTATTGGTGGTGTAATGCTGATGGCTGAACATCTTCATCGAGGAAGTTTAAACATAAAAAAGTGAGTATCCTGATTATTGTCCTTTTCTTCCATACAAAACACAATGCTCTTCATCTGAACATTAAAAAAATAACTAAATTATTTAGAAAAGGCAACAGAGGAAAAAGAAGTAAGGAAACAACGATCTTTCTCCTCTCTGTTGAAAAATGTTACAAAAACTCTGGTAAATTGAAAGATTTTATGTTAAAATTTGTCAATATTTATTAAATTTGGGATATTTTTGTCAATTGAGTTTAGCAATTCACCACCCCATATTACATTTCTTGGGCGAAAAACGTTGGTTCCTCCATAAATCACAGAATTCAGAAAAAATAATTAAGAATAGAACAGAACCTGGGACAACATATTTTTTGTGAGGGGAAACTACCGTAATTGCAGTTGTACAAGCCGCTACTTTTGTCTCACACTTTGTACCCCACGATTTATATGCAGGAGCGTCTTGTTTAAGTGTTTTTTCATAATTTTCAAAATTTATATTTTTATATTTTATTTTGAAAGACTTCCTGCCGTCTCTCAGTAGTTTCCTGCCACTGACTAACATTTTCCGTTGACAGAGCTGGGGGCTTGTGGCTCCCGACACCCCGCCCCTCATGGGGGCAGGCATTAGTGACACAGAGAGAACGCCCTCAGGTAATCAATGTACAAGGCCTTTTGCTCACAGTTTCAAATTCCTACCATAACTCCACCCACTCTGTCATCATGTGATCAGAAGTCTAACCTGAATGACCAACAAGGTACTCTTGAGGACCAATCCCCAAGATAAACATGAATTAATTTCTTCAGTTAGTTCCTGTGGTACCAGATTTTGCACTTCATGGACAGCCCTGTTCATTTGTTCAGCGATAACGGAAAATGCACGGAGAATTTCTTATGACGCAGATTTCATGTTAAAAGCGATCGGCTGAAGAGGAGGACAGAGCTGCTTCCTGTAAGCTTTGCATCGACGTGTCGATGGTCAGGATTGGAGAAGCCAAACAGTCAAGTCTGGTACATGTTTGAATAAAATTTTTTTTTATTATTTCTGTGTGACATCTTTCTCTGACAGTGAATACACATTTAAATACCAGGATCTCATTTTAAACTCACATCCGAACATGAAGCGGAGAAACAGAAAGGAGTTCCCCCATCCCCTCCAGTCATGAGAGCACAGTGGTGGAGAAGTTGTCAGATTAATTTTTAAAGCAGTCAGTCAAGACGTACTTAAATAAGTTTTTTTAAATCTTTCTGTGTACGGTAAATAAGTGTTTAAATACCAGTATCTCACTTAAGCTTAAAAAGGGGCATTAAACAGAACTGAGGAGACGTTGGGGAGGGAGGGGCTCTTCCCCTCCTCCTCTGTCTCTTCATATGCTTTTCTGAGTGGAAATCACATCAAATTTATTTTGAACGTACATTTAAAAACAGCAGTTGTTAACAAGTGTTTAACAATAAAAATCAATGGTACTAATTTAATGAATATTTACCACATTCTATCGGTACATTTGACTTTGGTCACATGACCTAGATAAGACTGGGTTTTACCGGTAAATAATTTTAAAATAATTTCAGTTACGTAGGTGTTTGGCACTGTTCTGTCCAGGGATTACGCTTAGATAGTTATTGTGTTCATTTTGTAGATATAACGGTTGTAACCAAGAGTCAGACAGTGAAGCTTCATGAAGACATGATGATCTTGCAGTCTGAGTGTGTGTTGAACGTATTCGGTGAAAAGCCATCTGCTGGCTGGTTCTTGTATTACAAGAAAGCTGCGCGCAGCCCGGAGCGGACTGGGCACAGATTCTGAACAGTGGATGCCTGCGGCTTAATAACTGGAGCGTCTTATATATGTACAAAATTATGATTTATCTTATATTTAAAAAGTGCAGCTTAGACACAGTGTGTTCTAAAGTCCGAGAATTACGGTACACAGATTTCAGGCAGCCTAAACCTAATGGTCCACTTGAGGGTTTTTTATTTTTTGCAGAAAAATACATATCAGTTTTGTTAAGCCTAATTTAATGTATGTGCAAAAAAACACGTTTATTTCAATATTTCAGCTGGCTGACAAAAACATATTTTATGATAAAAAAAAATAAAAAAAGAGTAAAATATGACTGGAAAAGTTGGACAGTGAAGCCGAGAAACAAAGAGCAGCATCAGCATTAGAGACACTTGAAAGTGTTTGAGGAGAATCTCACCTGTCCGTCCACTGGTTCGATCTGCTGCAACGTGGCGAGAACAAACACGGCCGTCTTTCCCATCCCAGACTTGGCCTGACACAGGATGTCCATGCCAAGGATCGCTTGAGGAATGCACTCATGCTGAACTTAAAATAAAACAAATGTAATAATGATGAGTGAAAACATCAAAAGTGGTGCTTAGTTTAGGGTTTTTTTTTTAAATGGCATGCAGGAGATCAGATGTTTTTAGAGTGAAGGGGCTGCAGATGTAAACACTGAGCTGACGTTTTGTTGCAATTCCTCTGTTAACGGGAAATGTGACAATCAATTTTTGTCTTTTACTTTTTAACAGGAAAACATTTAAAATCACTGCTAATATTTGGGCAAACTCACCGATTTGCAAGTTTTTGTATAATGTCACGTTTTCATGCTCAAATTTTCAGTCAATTAAAATTCAAACTTTCTAAGACGTTTTAAAGATCTTTATGGCTCAAATTTAAGACATGCATGAATAACAAAACACGTCATGTTTAAAGAAAATCTTCTAATGTAACAAATCTCTTAATCTTTCATTCAAATTCACTCCAAATCATTCAAAAGACTACAACAAACCAGTTTCAGGAACAGAGAAACTGGAATACCTCTTGAAGACTGACTGTTCATAAATAAATGAACTCTTACAGATCTGCTGCATGATGATGGGTCTTTAAGTTTTGTTACAGCTTTAAAACATCTGAAATGCTCAGAACTACAACACTCAGAACACTCAGAACAAATAAATGCCAACGGTGTAAAAGCAATGAATGAACAAACATAACTAAATGTATTTTAAGAAATAAAAGGGAGAATTTATTTATATTTAAACATGACTTTTTAAAACCCTGAAAAAACTGATAGTTTTTTTTATCATTAAACTATTCCTCACCTTCTGAAGGATGCTCAAACCCACAGTCAACGATGGCCCGGAGCAGCTCTGGTTTCAGGAGGAAGTCTCTGAAGCCCGAGCTGTGGATGGAGACATAGGAACCCTTAACGTCCTTTTTAACTGCTGGTGTACCGCTTTCAGGGAATCCCTGTGGCTCCTCGTCCTCCTCATAGTCCAAAAGTTCATTATCAACATCATTTTCTGCCATCTAGAGGAAAATACATAAAAAAAAAGAGTTTATATTTTTCAGCTTTAATGTGCATGTTTATATTTCAAACAACGGCCATTAAGTCTTGGGGGAATTAATCAAATGTATCCAAATTCTTCCATCCATTACTCAGATAATGCTCTCCTATGATTATTACTCTGGTAGTACATTTTGGCAGTTTACCGGTCAGGAAAATTAAAATGCACAATAATACAATATCTCAGAAAAAATATTAGCGAAGCACATTTTGCTGCTCGTTGATTTGAATGTGTTATGAGGCCATTTTTAAACATCCTCCTACAGAGCGAAAGATAGTTTAGAAGTTGACAACATTCAGTTTAGCTCATTTATTCAGCTGTGGCTGAGTGCTTAGAGAAGTCGTCCTCCAATTGGAGAGTTGGGGTTTCAATTCCACCAGCAGTCACATGTTGAAGTGTCTCTGGGTAAAACACTGACTGACCCCCTCATTGCCTCCGATGCATGTCCCATCGATGTATGAATGTGATAAAGCTCTGATTACTCTCTACAGATTCAGTTTATCTATGTAGAGCTGTATGCATGTGTGTGGAGGTAAATGAGGGCACAGATTGTGTTGTGAAGAGATGTGAGCATCTTGATTAGACAGAAAGGTGCTACATAAGTACTGTCCATTTAAGTGGAGAATCGAACAACTAAATAAAGAGATTAGATTTCACAGAGAAACAAAGATTCAAGAGCTAAAAAACAGAGGTGTTTAGTTTTGGGCTTGTTTGCAGGACCTGGACTCCTCGAGTCAAACATGAAGTCCTCTTTAGATCGAAATATTGTAGTCAGCTGTGAGGGCGTTTGTCTGACAGCAGAAGGCTAGACCAAACTGAGTCATGAAATACTCTAAAGATCCCAACAGTAAATCTACAACAAAATGGCCAAAAAGGAAAAAATAAATAAAAATGTTGCCAAAGTTTAGTCCAGGCCCAGATGCCAATCTGATTGGGATGTTGTGATGGGACCTTAAAAGCGATCTTTAGAAACAAAATGCCAACAAACTGAAGCAATGTTGAGGAGTGGGCCAAAAGTCCTGCATGACACAGTAAGGTCTACAGAAGATGCTTATCATAAGTTGTTGCCTCTCAACATGAGTCTAACACATACTAAATCATAGGGGGAGGGGACTTAAGTTTACACAATACAACTGAATACTCATGTATAATATGTCATATTGTTTTTTTATCTTACATTCTCGCAATTTAATTGTAAAACCTAGTAAAGTTAGTTAACATTGGCTGATACAGAAAATTTCCAAAAGATGGTAAATGGACTGTACTTATACAGCACCTTTCTATCTTATTTCAAGACACTCAAAGCGCTTTACCCTACAATCTGTGCCTCATTAGATCACATTCATACACTGATGGGACACACATCAGAGGCTATGAGGGGTTCAGTGTCTTGCCCAGGGACACTTCGGCATGTGACTGCTGGTGGATTCGAACCCCCAACTCTCCCAAGTAGGTATCGCTGCAGGCAAATTCGGAAGGCGTATCTGGGGGGCCACGTCTGATTGGATGAGGCGTATCGGGAGGCTTATATCTGATTGGACTATAGGAAAATTGGCGTGTCTGATGGTCACTTCTGATTGAACGATAGAAAAATGGGCGTGTCTGGCCGGCCACGTCTGATTGGACGATAGAAAAAAAGGCTGAATGATAAAAAGCCATTTTTGTTAACCACAGACACATTATGTCTAAAAACAAGGAGTTATTGGCAGATTGTGTTAACCACAGGCATATTATGTCTATGGTGTTAACCGGTTCAACATTAGCGGCGTCTCCATAACTTTTTTCCGCCTCTCCTAACACAGAACTTCCGGTTACATTTCAAAATAAGAGCAACATAACTGGGTAGTGGGGAGGGCTAAATGTTTTTTTTTTTAAATACCTAGCCGTAACATTAAAAAACAAAATCCATTTTGGTTGTTGAAAAATGTGAAAATAGTTACAATCGATTCATAAAGAAAGAAAAATATTAATGATACTTAAACTGGCCTTGGGACAAAGGATGTTTCCTTTAACTTCACATTTTCTTGTTCAACCTGCAGTCAGTGCAGATGAGTGATTGTCAGTTTCTGTAAGATTTCTGCAACTGGAGCAGGTATTTCTGTTTACTGGTTAACTTCCTCAGCTGTCTCACATTTTAAGGGTCAACCCTACTCCATGTTTCAGCTCCTTTCATAGATCAGAACTCATAGAAGAGCATTTCTAAAGAGCAAATTTTGTTTTTAGCGTTTGTTTTGGGTCATTATCTCGTCATAGGACTCATGATCTTTAATTGAGACCAGACTTTTTGGACAAATGGGAGCATGTTTCGCTTCAGATGCTTCATATTTCATTTTACCCAGATCACACTCAAGCCAACCTGTGTCAGGTGCAGCCTACAACCAAGAACAAGAGAATCTTCTTGTGTTTGACAGTAGATTTAACATGGGTTCTTAGAAACCTTCAGTTTTAAAAAGAGTTGACGTAACTTAACTAAAGAGCAGCAAATACAGCTGTCAATCAGTGCTTGCCCCCCCACACGCCTATTAGCCAGAAACGCCCACTTTTGGTCTGCAGAGAACCCCTTCTCAACTCTCGGAGGACTGCTCCTCTGGACTGCTCCTCTGGACTGCTCTAACCACTCAGCCACAGCCACCCTAAAAAAAGAGAAAAATAATCATTTTTATAACCACAGTTTACATTAGAATACCTATTTCAAATTAAACAGTAGCAAACTTTAGTAAATATATTTAAAATACTCCGTGATAAGACCAGCTCATGTGATTTATATTAGTTAAAATGACTTTGTTGGATAATGTAACAACCAAATGAGCTGTTTTTCAGCAGGTTAGTTTGGCTAACGTTAGCAGTTCGTTACAAAACCCAAAAATTATCAAAACGAGAAAGGCAAGGTTAACAAACTCACAAACAGACTGGCACATAAAATACATTTATAAACCAGAAGCATATTTCATTCAAAGTGAGTGCAGCTCGCTGCCATGAGTTGGAATGAAGCCACATAAACAATGGATGGAGTCATTCTCTTTCATTCAGTCACTGTTAGCCGCAGGCTAGCAGGGACGAACACTACTCCCCAATCCCCAAACTCACAAACATAACAATGTTTTGGATGTATTGTTGCAAGGCATCAGCATTTTTGAAACCAAACTTTTAACTGCATCCACGGTTAGCTTTAGCTTAAACAGCTAACGGGATTCAACGTGAAATTGACTTGTGTTGACGCATGTCTCAGCTAGCCAAGCAACCATTGAATCCGAAATATCACATGAAATCTGGCATTAATCTAAATATGTATCCACTCCTTATAGGCACTGTCTAAACAGGCAACCGTGTATGATGAAACGCACAAACATGAGTAAAAACATTACCTTAAGTCAATATTCTGTTACTGTCGTGCTAGCTTTCAGCTTTACACAGCAGTGATTGAGCTCAAATGATGCGTTCGCTTACGCCTCGGATTTGTTCACGCTTCCTTTCAAACCAGTAATCGTGTAACTCAAACAATAATTATTGTAACAAACTCCAATAAATTTAACAGTGTATAGGTTTTTGAGTCGTGTAGGTTACTTTATGTTCTTTTACTTAAACCAAGACCAATTCAATCCATGCGTGATCTAATAGAACCTTTCTTGACCAAATCTGTAATAGACAAATTTTGCCTGAAGGCACCAGTGGTGGAGGAGAGTGATTTCTGACAAAGGTTAAATCATGGCATCTGGACCAGTTTCTTTAAGGGAGAAATGTTTTGTCTTTTTCTTCCGAAATACTTCAGTCTGCGGCCTGCCAACCCAGATCTGTTCCTTAAATAACCCCCATTGATGTGTTTCAAGCCAGCTGAATTATCAGAAGCCGGCTTCTAACACATGCAAACAAGGGACCATTGGTCAAAAACAATCAATCATCATGTACAACAATCAAATGTTCTATTTCATATAGGCTTCGCCTTTTAAGAGCTGTCGCTGGTGGGTTTTATTCCTAAGGCGCTCAGCGCTGCACTGAAAACTTTAGTCCACGCCCACCTGCTGTGTGGGCCTCTCCCCCGGTTCGTATAAATTACGGTGTGACCGGGAATCGGCTCCCAAATAGCTTTTTTCTTCAGCCATTTAGGAACCAGTGAGGCCCTGCACTTAAAGGGCTACGCCTATACTCATACAGTCTGTGGTTACAGTACGTAACCAACGTTCTATTTCGTATAAGCTTCACCCTTTAAGAGCTGTCGCTGGTGGGTTAAAGGCGAAGCAGGATGTAGTCTATGCCTCACTGGGTCCATTCAGACACAACATGAAGCACCTGCTTGCACAAAAAAACATTTCATCACTCAGCCTTCTGTGCGTAATTACGCGCTGCGTAATTGTGTGCTCCATGCGCAGGAGCGCACCGGAGAAAATTTCTGGTGAGGAAAAAAGGCTGAGATAGCCGACCTGCTACTGTGAATAGGAACAACAGAGGATACGAATTGTAACAGTGTAACAATGAACAGAGCAGACCAACAGCTCCACAGGATGAACCAATTAATAACGATGAAATCAGCAGTCATGAACTTGTGACTGATAATAAATATCACACTGCGACTGCATGCAGGCGTGAGCTCAAAAGTGAGGCTCCATGAAACAAATAATCATCACTCTGTCAGAACCCTGAGAACAGAATGGGTCATGGAGAAAGTAGAAACATCACGTAGATAAAAACGAATAATTGAACATGGTGATGACCAGGCAGCCGCCATACAAATATCCTCCACTGTCATCCCTCCATGCAGAGCCATGGAGGATGAAAACCCTCTGGTGGAATGCAGCATGTTTCTCTGGAGGATCCAGTCCAGATGAACTGTAAGCTTCAGAAATAGCCTCACACAAGCAGTGTGAGAGGCGCTGGGTGGATAGAGGACGTCCTGAAGAGCTGTCCCAGTAATGCACGAGCTGTACAAACGATGGTTTCAACGGCACAACCCTGTACAAATGAAACACTAAAAAAGTAGACCACTTTGGTTTAATTTGGAGCAAGATGGGGGGGATGATGACCTCTGGATGACCTAAAAAATATTTTTTAATATCTCATAAACCAAAGCAGCACAAACGAAAATTTTAACGGCACAAACGGAGCACTAACCACTCATTCTATTTGCTGGAATTTTTCACGTGGGTGGGGTGGCAGCTTCACTCAGCTGCCCAGATGGGGTAGAGGTTGTTATGACTCGAAGAACCCAGAGTGGTATGAGACCAGGAACGAGACAGACACAGGCAAGTACAAAAGTGACAGTGTTTATTATTTACAGTGGTAAATATACAGTAGCTTCTCTGCAGCTCCTGGAAGAGGAGGGAGATGGTCAGAGGAGGTCAGCAGATGGTCAGGTAATATTAATGTGATGATGTTTTATCTCTTACAGATTTGAAGATCTCCTTAGGGTCCACTCCAAATCCTTAGAAGAGCTCCAGAGGGGGACAAGGCCAAGGATCCAACAGAGCAAGGAAGGCTGACAACTGGTGTTTGACAAGGCACAAGGAGAACGAGGACGAGGCACTGGGAGAACAAGAACAAGACACGAGGCGAACCAAGACGAGGCACTGGGAACCAGGACCCAGGAAGCAGGAACACATTAGATGGTCAATACTCCAGCGAAGAGTAACACTGGACTGCAGCCTTATGTAGGAGATGATCCTCATCAAGTTGATGGCTGACAGCTGTTGACAATTAGCGGCCATCTTGGATGAGGAGCTTCAGGCAGTGATACTCTTACAGAGGTAGAGCAGCTGACCTGGGACCAGAAAGTCGCGGTTTGACTCCCGGTCATGCCCACATGTCGTGGTGTCTCTGAGCAAGACACCCAATCCCTAATTGCTCCCTAGGAGGTCAATAGCGTCCCACTGCTCCACCTGGGTGCCTTCCAGGTGTGATGGGTTAAATGCAGAGAACTAATTTTGCCATTGTATGGGAACATACATGACAACATACAGTGTAGGGTTTCTGGGGTCTGGTCCAATACATGTTGTGTTTTCCTCATGTTTGCCTGTCACCCCTCAGCGTTTCTCTGTGTTCCAGCACTGTCGCACCTGTGTCTGATCTACTGTATTTTTTGGCGTATAAGTCTCTCCTGAGTATACATGTAAGTCGCATCAGTCAAAAAAATCATAATGAAGAGGAAAAAAACATAGAAGTCGCTTCGGCATATAAGTCAAGTTTATTATGAGTTTATTTAATGGTCAAAACAGTTTCGTTTTGCCTTGGTGGAGTAGCACCATGCGTCGCAGCTGGAGCTGCTAGCTCTCCAGTGTTCCTTCGCCTGCACCAGCTGAATGAAGCAAGCGTGCACGGGAGGACTCGCTATTGCAGTTCTTAGAATTTTAAAGTGTCAGTCAAACATGTCATTATGAATATGGAAAAAAAAAAAAACTATATATGTCGCAGGACTGACAAATCTATGCAAAAAAAAAAGTGACTTATACACCATAAAATACGGTAATCACCGCCTGTCATTCTGTATATATTCAGCCCCTTGGTGTCTTGTCTCTGGATTGTCCTGTGTAAGACTACATGACCTGCCCACCTCTAAGTAAGTTAGCTGCCCCGTCAGCATCTTGTTGTGTTTATTTAGTTAATAAATAGTTTTTACTCATTTACTGGAGTCTCTCATCCTCCTGCACGTGGGTTCAAGCATGTTACAGTCAGATCATGTCATAAAGCACTTATACTTACTTATACACTTAATCTGTGGGACTATTGAAACAACTTGTGTAACTAAAGGTAGAGACGGCTCAGAACTGATGCCAGCAGAACGAACAGACTCTGTGAGGTTTTGACTTTCTGTGAAACTGACTGCTCTCTCGTTTTACAGCAAATGAGACATTTGATGAAGTCTACACCTGATCGTTTGTGTATCCGTTGTTTTCTATGACACAGTGTATCTCAGGAAGGATGTATCAAACTATCAAACTACTAGAAGAGGACATTTATTGAATGTTATGGCATTTGAATGATGGCAAATAATGTTTACTGGTGGCCATTATGGAAAGTTACCCCATCACTAAAGGTTAAAATCATGGTTTTGCAAATGTTACCTAAATCAAAGCCCAACCTTCTTTTTTTAAAATATTATACTACTTTATTTGAAAAGCACTTAAAAAAATTCTAACCAGTCCCACCAAAGTGCTGTATACCAAAAAACAAACGGGCACAGGACGAAGAATACATAAAACTACAGAAGTAAAAATGAGAAACAAAACAAACTGAAAACCAATAAAAGCACAACAAGGTCAAACTCATGTCACACTGGGTCGAAGGCCAGGGAAGCAAAGTGTAGCTTTAAACCAGATTTAACACCAGAAAGTGAAGCAGCCTGCCTGGCATGCAGTGAGAGCTGCAAACCATTAGAGTTTGGAACCTGCAACAGAAAAACTCCATCACCACTTTGCTCCCTTGAAACCTTTAAAAGCATCTGATCCTCTGACCTCAGAGTGCGCTGCGGTACCTTTAAAGAGACATAAAAACATACAAAAGAACTTCACAATGAATTAGACGAGAACTAGAAGCCTGTGAAGAGAACCCAACCCTGGAAAAACTTCTCTTCTGCCTGTAGCAGGTAAAAATTGAGCATCGGTCTTTGAACCAGCTGCAAACAAGCAACAGAAGATGGAACAATCAACAGCTCACTGGTGTAATCGAGCCAATATGTTTTAACAACACTCTCTCAGGGTTTCATGTTCAAGGAATATTTGTTATGGCAGCCAACTTTACTGTAACTTTAAGACACACAGAAAGGCCAGGATTTGATCTGGCAACCTTCCCGCTGTGCGGCGGCACCTCTACCAATTGCGCCACCATGCCACCCTAGCCTCTAAGTCAGATGGGAATAATTTGCTAACGGTTAGTTTGAAAGTGAATTACCACTTTCTGAAAACAATTCCAGTCTTCCAAGCTTTATTTTAGAGGTATACTGCACTGGTGTTTCAGTTGAACAAATTGTTATACCAGTCTGAAATGGGGCTGGACAGTTTGGGCTTGAATGTTTTACTGCAAATAAGAAATGTCTATAAAGTCTGATTTGTCAGTAAACAATGTGACAGCCTTTTTCTTTTTTTATGTTATTCATAAATTGTATTTTTTCCCCTTATTTCAGATCTTTATTAAATCCCCAGAGCTAAGTTCTAAATCTACCGTGCTTCAATATGTGGGTTTGATGGGATGTAAACTATTAAAAAAAAACTTCCAAAGTGCAGCAAGCATAGAAAATAAATAAATTCTTTTTTTTATCTAAGTGCGTAAATCTGTGTTTTGCACAGTGACAGTAAGAGAGTTCAGGTGGCACATTAACTCAAGTTCACCTTCAGGTAATTTATGTGAATTTTTCACTAGTATCAGGTTGCATTCAGTGGATTACTTTGACTTCTCCAGAAGGGGGTGGCAAAAACATTTTTGTAATTTTTTTGTTTTGTTTTGTTTATACAGGCAACTTAAAGGTTCAAGGTTCTTTATTGTCATTTGCATCACATGTGGTACATGAGGTGGAACAAAATTGTGCACCCACTTACAAACTTACTGAATAAATTTTAGCAACAAAATCTCAGCATTCAGAAAGTTTTATATCAACTACTACACTTTGTTAAAATACAGTTTTATAAGTCTATGCATGAATAATTTTCTAATTAACAGTGCACATTTTATTGCCCTTTTAAATTGTCTCATGAACTTCTCCAGCTAATGAAAACTATAGATTATTATCTAAGACGCTTTTTATAGCCCAATCAGCCACAACAGAAGAAACTGATTATATACTTTTACAAAAAGGCATGTTGGTGACATTTAATTATTCACGCATAAATCCGCTGTGACACCTGCGGGCTCTGCCTTTCCGCAGAATAAAGCTTCACCGTGATTGGCTCGATTTGTTGCCATTCTGGAGGAAGCCCGGCAGTGCGGCTTGCTCATTGGTTCACTACCTGTCAATCACGTCTCGTTCTGTAATCTGATTGGTCCAACGCTCCTCTCGGTCCAACCGGAGGCACAACGCCAGCCATTCTGTGTAATTTACCGTGTGATCGATGCGGCCGTTTATACCACATCCTTGTTGAAACGTCGGCTACACCGCGGCGCTGTCATGGTTATTTTAGAGGTCGCTTCCAGAAACAGTCTTTCCCGTTTAACTCGGCCCGGTCGACCAGCCCGACCCGCCTTCTGCTAGCTAGCTTTCGCGAGCGGCGGTGACGCGGCGCTGCCTCCTGTCTCCCGGTGGAGGCGGCAGGGGAGGATGGCACTGCGCTGGACGGGCTGTCAGAGCTAGTCCTCGGTGGCCTCCAAAGGTTTTAATTAGCTTGTGACACACGTTTACGACGGACTGGGGTGGGAGCGGACTGCGCACCGCTATGATAATGGAAACGAAGGGCAGGTAAGCGTTTTATGGTTTTATTCGAGGTTTTCTGTTTTCAAAGCGTCGCCTTGAGGGCTCACGCGCTTCTCAGCTGGGGAACAGGTAACCAAAGCGTATTTACCTGCTCGGAACGTGTGTTGCTAAATGGGACGCAGCCCATTCATTCAGCCCACAAACCATTTCCCAAGAAGACGAAGCCGGCCGGTCCCGGCCTCGTTTCACATCGTTACACAACCGAGTTGTTGTTGTGAGACGAGCCGGGACGCACAGAGGCCACCATGTGTCATGTAGCCCCAGATGTTGGTCCAGTGGACCGTAGGGCCTGCAGGGGAAGCATCCCTAAAGATGCAGCAGCAGGCCAGGAGGGGCAAATGTCCAGACATCAGCATCTTCATCCAGATGTTCATCACGTGGAAATTATAATCTTGCAAACTGTAGCATTTCTGTGAAATATGTGAGGAATTGCAATGCAGCTATTACCAGAAATCCCAACACACATCAACTATCTTTTATAGTCTAATAGTTTATTTGTTAACGTTTATTCATCCAGGCAAGTCCCACTGACTCCACACAGAAAGACCCCAAGTCCAAGTCGGGGATTGAACCCAGGACCTTCTTGCTGCGAGGCAACAGTGCAAATCACTGAGCCATCGTGCTGCCCAAATAATAGTAAGAATAGAATAGAAACAGCCTTTATTGTACCACGGATGGGAAATTCAAGTGTAATTTACTTACTATGATGTAGCCTTATGATGTACTGCTACCACAAGTCATGAATGTATTTTTACAAGGGATTCCAATATTGTGACAAAACAGAAGAATTACAGCGGATTAGTAAAAATTGACCTTCACACTCTAGAAAATGCTACATTTTGATGTATACTTCATAGTAAAGAGAATCAAGATCGAAAGCAATCTCACAGCTGCTGCCAGTGACTTATCGGGGTCGCCATGGCAACCACACACCTTTTGTATCTCACTCCCTGACACGTCTCTGAATAAAACAATCAGACAGAAATAGTCTAAATAAAGGTGATACCTCACTGGACTGACAAGTTGTTAAACACCATTTGTTCATGATGGTTCTTGACTTCCTCATAGTAAGAGGTGTGCAGCCCTGTCATTTACGTTTTCATTCATTCAACCTTTATTTATACACGTTTGTCTCATTGAGCCATGAGGGCTCATTTACAAGAGAGACCTGTTTTAAACAAAGAACACAAACAACAATAGTCATATAAAAAACATATAAAATGAAAAAGTAAATAGAAGAAGTGATACATTATAAAGCGATGTAAAATACTAAAACAGAAACATGTCTGTGTTGGTTTTTGCCATGAACTTAACAGATGTTTAAAATCCCTTAGAGAGGTCAAGGTTGAAAGCTTCAGATGTTTTTGCAAGATATTCCAGGAAACATGAGCGAAGTAGGAGAAGGTCCTTTTGCCTAGTTCAGTCCTGACTAAGGGAACACTGCAGGTAATAATGTCCTGAGAGCGCACGCTGTAGCTGCACTGACGACATGACATGTAGGAGGAGATGTATGAAGGCAGCAGACCAAGAAGTGTTTTACAGTTGAAAATGTACCAGTAAGAGAGTCTGTGTAAAGTTAATGATGACTGGTTAACCAGTGAATACTGGGTGCAGTGGTGGGTACGGTAGTTACAGCCAGTTATGGATCTTAGTGCACTGTGATAGACAGCATCCAACATCTGCAGGGTTCTTGTAACGTTCGTGTAAATAATGTCATTGTAGTCAATGGAGGGAAGGAAAGTCACAGTTACTTGGTGTTTTCTAGTGTTCAGCATTAGAATTTTGAGCATGTTCAAAAAATGTGTGCAACAACTTTTTTGCAGGCAGAGCTTTGTTTTGACATCTGCATGGGACTCAAATGTCTACGTTTTAAAACGGCTTGACATGATCAGAGGTGGACAGTGAAGTGACGTGCACAACCAAGAACACAGTTTTACATTCTTGGCCTTCGATTTTCAAAAACTGGTTGCAAGAAAACGCGGCCACTTGTCCCAATGGTCACTTACTGGTAACTTAGTTCAGTGACACTGCAGTAGAAATTTCTTATATTTTCTTGGGATTTTGAGTCGCCATTGCATCTTGTTACAGCCGCAGGCTAGTAGGATACCACCTTAGGTACAGTGCAAAAACTATAGGGTGCGTTAAAAGATTCCTGAAAGATTGCTCATCACACATGTCAATCTTCATGTGTCTACAGCAGGGGTCTGCAACCTTTATGATCAAAAGAGCCATTTTACGCCATCGCTCACTAAATTAAAAGTAACCAGAGCCACGACAACCTGCTATGATTATCAACTGGTGGCCCATGGGCCACTTTAGGTTTGTTGGAGGGGCTTTTGTGGCCATTAGGGGTGACATTATAAAACTAAAATTATCTAATAATTTAGATTTTTACAATTTAAGACAAATGAAAAGACCAGATTCTTGTGGGTGGGGGGGCGGTAGTTTATTTATTTTTTTAATTAATAAAAACTCTGAACTATGCAGACCTATGTATTTTTTAATTGTGGAAAAAACAAGTATAGAAATAAAGCATGAAGTTAAAATGAGTGTTTTTTTTTTTTTTTCTCCTTGTACATGTTCCAGCAAAATAAATGACAGGAAAACTGCTACAACTAGTCCTTTTTTGTATTTTGTATAACAACTTATAAAATTCAGTTTTGTCAGTTTTGGTCAAAGCTTGAAAGAGCCGCTGCGAAGGGACCAAAGAGCCACATGTGGCTCCAGAGCCGCAGGTTGCAGACCCCTGGTCTACAGGGTTTTATGTAGGTGAAATGACAAATAAAGGGTCCTTTAATTTAATTTCTGAAGAGAAAATGATGAGCTCTGAAACAATGGAAGTCAATGAGAGTTTGGATGTGTGGACTCTGCACTCTGAGGGGCATTTTAAGAAAACTATAAGTCCTGTAGCAGTGAGAGAGACACTGGGTGAAAAAGTAAAACGAGTGGCTATGTTTTGGTTTATAAACTATTTGTAGTTTGTTTGAATAAGCCTAACTTAGGTTGATTGGTAACTCTAAATTGTCCCTAGGTGTGAGTGAGAGAGTGGATGATTGTTTGTCTCGTTTGTCTCCATGTGTCCCTGTGATGGACTGGAGACCTGTCCAGGGTGTCCCCCGCCCCTCGCACAGTGATTGCTGGACATGTGCATCAGCGACCCCTGTGACCCAAAAACGGAAGAAGCTGGTAAAAGATAAAGGATGAATGGATGTGGGAATAAGAAGAATTTGTAGAAAGTTTGGAACGAGCGCATTTCTCTCATTTTGCTAAAATCCCATTATTATTGAAAATTGCCTCACATTTTATGAGTTTTAATAATAAATTATGATGTACTGCTACCACAAGTAGATGTATTTTTACAAGCTGCGTGAAGAAAAGGGATTCCAATATTGTGACACGAACAAAAGGATACCAGCAGAATCGTAATAAGAGGCCTTCAGTGTTTGTTCATTCACACTCTAGATTAATCTGTACTTAAGAAAACCAAATTGGTGATTGTTGATGCTAAAGAACGTGAACCCTATCAAACATGCTAACCTTGCCTGTAAGGCTGAAACAAACAGCCCTCGATGTGAGCACCAAAGTTAAATGACTCACTCTTGTAAATCTAGGCCAGACAAATATTTTAACTAGGCAAGTATAATAAATTGTGCAAACCCGCTTTTGGCTTATGATACTAAAGGATTAGGAATATTGCTGACTAGTCACAATATCAAAGCGCTCCCTGAAGCACTCATCTTTTGAGGAGAGTTGGATTATTCCTTCTTTGTTTGTTAAATGCAGCTTTAATGCTTCATGACTAAGGGCACGCACCAGTGTGTAACAGACTCTTCATATCTCAGTATAGGATGACTTTTGAGCTTATCTTTAAAATCCACTCGCTTTGCAAATGTCACCTAATTCACAGTCAAGGAAACGAGTATCAGATTCTAACGTTCTGGTGACCTTGTTTTCTTTTAAGCGGCAAAGATTAGAAACTTCTGCTTTTTTGGGTTACAGTCATGCGCACACAAAAGCCCAACTCTATTACCTTTTTGACATGAAAGCAAACTTGAGCTTCTCCTCTGCTCTGTCTGCTTCTGCATTATTCATCTGTGGAGTGGAGAGATAAAAGGATCTGGCCAGTGTCTTTAAGATAAACAGTTCATGAGCCGTGCACCCAAACTGCTGCTGTCCAAGTTTATTACTGTCTGCTGCCTTTGTAATAACAGGAATGTCTGAATCAAACCTGAGCCACGTATCTGGGTCATAACACGGACAGACTGAATACCGTCAGGGATGAAGAATCTGAACATAGGTCTTAACATCTTGCAACCCAATACTATATGTATCCAGTGTTTCAGTAAATAAAGCGTAACAGAGGTAAAAGGTGTTTCCTGTTAAAATCAAACAGAGCCTTGGGCATCAAACCAAACCAAAGGAGAAATTTACTAAAGTGATATAACAATTAGGTACTTTTTTGAGAAAAACATTGCACTACTGAGCTGAACGAGATTGTTACAAACACTGAATATCATCACAGGTCTTGGTAAACTCCATTTAGATTTTATAAAACATGGCTGACATTTGAAAGTGTTACATAGAAGCGGGTACATGTGGCGTTTATAGAAGGGATTAATCTTTGATTTATTCGTAGAAAGACAAACAATTTGAGTTGTTTGTAAAATCTTTAGCAGAATTTTCTCAACTTTATCTACTAAGAGGTAACTTCCTGGTGTATTGAAAGCAGCTTTTGGTCTGGAAGTGACAAGTTTTAAAGCTATTGTTGTACAGTAAAAGTTAGAAAATGCAGATCGCTGGGTTTTCTCTGGATCCTCCGGTTTCCTCCCATAGACCAAAAACATGCCCAGAGTCCTCTCACACAGTGACTGCTGGATATGGGCACTAGTGACCCCCGCGACCCAAGCAGGAAGATGGATTGATTTGGATTAGTGGTATGTTTTACCTTCCACCACTCGTAAAGTAGTAGACGTAGTTGTTGCCTG